AAATCACGTACTATTTGTTCATTAAACTTTTGTTTTCTTTCCTACCTATGCTGATAGCCTTGAGAGGCTATTTCAGCTTACCCTAGCGTGTGTAGGTGAGCTCACGGGGCTCAAACCGGAGAGTTGCTAACACTGACTCTAGCAAGAGCAGTGCTTCGCAGAATCTACCACTGGAGCGGAAACGCGACCCACTGAGAAGATCCGGCGAGAAACTCAGTGGGCTGTGTCTAAGGGTTAATTCGCTCATCGAGCCCTTCGTCGCAAGCGACGGGTTCGACGAGGACGGTGACTGGTGCTTGTGGTGCCTAAAAGCACCGTTAATGGATCGGGAGGATCCGTAATGACGTGCTTTGGGTGACGTCGACGGTTTACCATTCGGTCTACCGGGTCGGGTCTGTAGTTTCCAGCGGCCACGATAAGAGGGTTCTCATGTCGTGCCGTCTTCTCGAAGTGGCGCAGCGATGCTGACTGTAGATACTTACTGACGGGGTCGAGCTCCAGGTCATCGTAGAGATCCACGTTCCTCTGGAACCATTCATTAAACATAGTTAGACTTGCCATTTCTATGCTACACACGTCGAAGATGCTATGACAAAAACCTTCACTAAAGCGCTTATACCAATTAGTGAACTCAGTTGGATTAACACTACGCGTGCTTACAGAACACAAACAAGCTAACAAAGTCAGATTATTATAATAAGAAGTTTTACTAATATTTTCTAAAAAATATATTTTTTTTATTATAATATTAGCAGTTTTGAATTATAATAATAGTTTGACATTCGCCATAAACTATTTTATATAAATGTTAAGACGACATGTTTTGTGTCTGTCTGATTTTCAGCGTCCTTGACTTTAGAATAATAATATTAAAAGTTTATCTGTATTATTTCTGATAATGACATCGCAATCATATATAGGGCTTGTCTTTGTGTTGAAACTTCATGAAGAGTAGTAAAGATATTACAGGAAAAGACAAAAAATGACAGTTCAGCTGATTTTTTATGTACTAGCACAATTTTTTTAGGCGGGCCGATTGTTTACCGTCGCTCATGGACATCAGAAATGCCAGAGGTAGAGCCAAGCCAAAACGTTGCGATTTAAAAATTAGGTTTTATTCATCGTTTTTGAAACCCTTTGAAACCATGTGGTTCGGGGATTTGTACCTTGGATCATTAAACTAAACTCTTGTTATTTTCAGAACCTCTTTCCTTACATCCTATGAGTATAATCATCTTCTTTAACGCTCCTATTTCTGTTCTCTGCCCATTTTAGAATTGTATTAAATCATCGTGGTTATTAAATCACCAAATTTTATCTGTCAACTACTAGATGAATCGCGACAGGGATGTCAGCGGAACAATATTCACTTCCCAGTTGGATTTGATTCGAAAGGGTACCGCTGTATTTCACGTTCACAGCCTGCCTTAAAATCTTAGATACTACAATACCCGATATTTTATTTTAAACAAGTTATACCCTGCAATTCTAGCAGATGTTGCGTCTTTCGTCACTAATCCATAGGCCCAATAATTAACAATGTTGCAAATTGACTGTATCTAATAACATATTCGATCGATTAGAATGGCAAAAGTAATTGTGGAATAAGAATTCGGAACAAGGCTGGGAGCAAATAATAAAATTGTCAGACGTGACTTGAAGCTCACAGCTGTCGAAAGGAACATAAACACCTACCGATGTTAGGGTGAAATGTGAGAGAAAAATACTGAGGAAGGTATAAGTAGGGCTGTCAAGTTGATTTCTTTTTTAACATTTTGCCTCATCCTGTATTTTATAAATTAGTCGAGCAAATAAAATGTTTTTATTAAGGCATCTTTCTTTAAATAAATGACTTGGACGATGTTGATCAAAATAAATACATACATACATACGCAGCACAAAACTGACTTATATTATCTATATCGAAAAAAGAAGAAGTGATTTTTCTATAAGCTGTAAATGTTAAGAAAAATAAAAGTAGAAATATCTTATCTAAAATAGTACTACATAATTATATGGTATGATACTATATTACTACGCTCGAGGTTTATATGGAAACATTGGCTCCAAACTACCACTGATTTATTGGTTCAAGTTAAAATTTCCGAATTGTAAACGTAGTATGCAGTAGGTACATTCATTCCGCAGATTGTAAGTTTTACAGACTCTTGACATTGAAAATCTACGAAAGTCTATTTTTTAGTTCAGGAGGAAATTGCCGTAATTTCCCCTGCGTTAGGAGCCATGAACCCGACCTCATACTGGCTGTCGAAAAATAGCCCATGTCCGAGCCTTGGATGAGACAGAACTCACCCGGGGAAAACGTGGGCAAGGTGACACGTTTCGCATGCAAAGGCGAAGATGGAACAATTAGTTGAGAAATAAATAGATCTGAGCCTGGCTGAGGATACAGTACTGATTTTCTTTTTTTTTTTATTGCTTATATGGGTGGACGAGCTCACAGCCCACCTAGTGTTAAGTGGTTACTGGAGCCCATAGACATCTACAACGTAAATGCGCCACCCACCTTGAGATATAAGTTCTAAAATCTCAGCATAGTTACAACGGCTGCCTAGCCCTTCAAACCGAAACGCATTACTGCTTCCCGGCAGAAATAGGCAGGGCGGTGGTACCTACCCGCGCGGACTCACATGAGGTCCTATCACCAGTAAATAATACCAGTAAACTGATGAAATGTAAATAGTTTTTGGCAACCATGGCACGAGGAGTGAGAATTGCTATCATATTTCCGGCGTCGCATCGGCGAGTGCCTCTCAACAGTAAGAACTTGGAACCCGATGTTTGATCGGTTATTTTCGTGTATTGGAATTTATATTACTTCCCAAATAAATAAATGGTTCTTATTTATTTTCAACGAGGGTAGTATTGTACTAGCTACGCTGAGATGCACAGAATGACGCTAATTGCACTATCTGATTTTACGTTAACATGTTTTTCTGATTGAGTAAAGTTTAGTTTTTAACTGAACTTCGAAAGTATTTTATATTGTTTGTATATTAAATGAAGCCGTCAGAGCAAAAGAGGCCTAGTCCAAATATTTTCATATTCGTGCTTATATATACCAATTTATTTAAAACATAATAATTTTTTTATGCAAAGCCGTCCGATCCCTAATTTCACCCATAGATAACAGATGGCTTAGTAAACATTATTTTTGCGCGTATTATTTTTGCCTACGAAACAGTGCAAAAGTAAATTCAAAACTCATTATCTCCATGCTGACTATGGCAAGACTATGGCCGCATTTGCGCTGACGGCTTCAAATGTACTATATATATATCCTATTCATATCTATTAGAGCTGATTTAAGCAATTGTTGTGTGTGTAATAATAAAAAAAAATGTGTGCGTGTACACACGTAAGAAGTGAAACTTCTTTATGGCCTTATTTTTCGAAAAATGATCTACATGCAACTTTCTAGAAATTGGTTAAATAAAGTTAAATTAGATAAAGTTTAAACAAAAGGATTTTATTATCATAGACATGAATACAAAAAAGTTAAATTAGATAAAGTTTAAACAAAAGGATTTTATTATCATAGACATGAATACAAAAAAGATGGCGCGTAACGGAAAAATGTGACGCGTAACCGAAAAATGTGACGGTAAATTTTTTTCCAACGCCGATAAGGAAGTTTCACTTCAATAATAATAAATATCTTTTATTTTCATATTGTTTTAAAATAACTTTTGACTATCTTTAGTGATAACAAATTTAAAACAAACTTCGGTTGGTTACTACTAACAGTGACGTCAATATCAAATCGAGAGAACATTGTTTCGGAAACATTAAATAATAATTAAATATCTTGACGGAATGTTTATGTCCGGGAGCAAAAACTTAACGACGTTTGACGTCTTTGATTTTAAATAAAGCAGATTTTTTTAGTTAAATATATATGTTTGTACATAATACTATATAAGTCACCGGAACCTATAAAAAAAAGTGAACATCGCTGTCTACCTTAATAAATTAGATTGTAAGCTAAGTTGCATTGGATTAAATCATCTTTACGCTCTGCCCCTGGCATTGCTGAAGTCCATGGGCGACGGTAATTACTCACCATCAGGTGGGCTGTGCGCTCGTCTGCCTACAAGGGCAATAAAATATATATATATTGAAAAGCGAAAACAGCTATAACAAGGGAAATTATAAAAAATGCGTTTGTGAACATAATGACGTCATATTAACAGGACATACAATTATAGGCGAGTAACCTTTTTTCTTTACCTATTCGCTGGTAGATTAAGGAGCTATTATTACAATTACGCACGGACGGGCAGATGAGCTCACGGGCTCAACCTGAGAGAACTTGCTAACACTAGCCCTAGCAAGAGCAGAGCTTCGCAGAATCTACCACCCGATCCCATCTACTACCCACTGAGAAGATCTGGCGTAAAAGGCAGTTAGAAGCGCATAAGCAGTAAGTTTTACCTCAAGCACCGGTCACCGTGCTCGTGGAAGCCGTCGCTTGCGACGAAGGCTTCGACGAGCGAATTAACTCATAGACACAGCCCGCTGAATGTCTCGCCGGATCTTCTCAGTCGCGTTTCCGATCCGGTGGTAGATTCTGCGAAGCACCGCTCTTGCTAGGGCCAGTGCTAGCGACACTCCGGTTTGAGCCCCGTGAACTCACCTACACGTCAAGGAGAAGCTGAAATAGCCTCTCAAACTATTAACACAGGTAGGAGAAAGGAAAAAAAGTAAGTTTTTCGTTTGTATCTGTGGATTTCGTAGGTACTAAGTGGCCGAAACAGCAGCCTTTCAATGAAAAAACAGGAACAAAGTGGGTGCACTAATTCAATTGATAGTAATCATTGCCGTTTATTGACCCGGTTGTTTCAAACTCTATTAATCATATCGTAATTGTGTTCGTCTTATTATATAATTAAATTCGATAAGCTCGTCTCGATAATTAGCACGACAGTAGTTTAGTTTCATATAAATATCAGTCGTCATGTAGCATTAGTTGAGAAAAGATGGAATTCAGTGTCGGATTCAATGAAAACAGTGCGAAAAGTAAGTTTTTTTTGTTACGTTTTAATATACTAATGATCTTAATTGCTTAAAGTTTTGTATGGGAAACAAGTAAATTAAATGTAAATGTTCTTATTTCCTTTATAATTTTAGATCAAGCGTTTAGTTAGTTGTTATGGAACCTGACACTATTGTTTTTATGGCCTTTGTATACAGTCGAGCGTACAGCTCACCTGATGGGGAGTGGTTACCGTCGCCCATGGACTTCAGCAATGCCAGGGGTACAGTCAACTTCCTACCTGTCGCATAACTGTACCGTGGGTTCTCGTGTTATATTCTCGATCGGAGTCAGTGTATTTGTTCTTGTGTTTCTTTCGGTTATTGCGTGTCGTAGACATAATTCTACCTACTTTTATGACTTAATATTGCATTTTTTATGGGCCTTAAATTATTTTTGACATTTCGAATACTCCACAGCCCTCATCATTACAAACGACTAAGGTGTTATTCATCGATATTTAAATAATGATCACTATCTATTTTTTTTGTTTTAAAATGAATATATAGAAAAATAATATCGTGACAATACAAAAACCTGAAATTGAAACATAAAAGTAATGTTGCTAGCCTATCTAAGCTTAGTTTGGAATTTTTGCTTATAGAATGTCTCTTTAAGTGGTTTTTTCAGACACCTGAAAAAAAATTTGGTTAGGTTAATAGAAAAATAATTTTAGTCACTTGAAATAAGTTTGTTTTTGTTCTTCCAATTTATTTGCCTATGAAATGAGGGCATTCGCATCGTTCGATATGAATAATGCAATGCGATGTAATAACTAATGACATTTCTGTAAACACCAAATATCACCGCATTCCATCAGTATCTCTTGATTGATAAATTGCATAATTAACCGATTTTATAAAGAAACATAAATCAAGTTAATTAAAGAGTTAAATACATTCAGATTTGGTTTTTGAGTTTTAGATATTAATTACTGGTCGTAGGACCTCTTGTGAGTCCGCACGGATAGGTACCACCACCCTGCCTATTTCTGCCGTGAAGCAGTAATGCGTTTCGGCTTGAAGGGTGGAGCAGCCGTTGTAACTATACTGAGACCTTAGAACTTATATCTCAAGGTGGGTGGCGCATTTACGTTGTAAATGTCTACGGGCTCCAGTAACCACTTAACACCAGGTGGGCTGTGAGCTCGTCCACCCATCTAAGCAAAAAAAAAGTCGTTGGATTTTTCTAAATATATTTATATTATTTATATATTGTCAAAATAGTTTTAAATAAGCATCTCTTTGTAATTAGCATAAGTTCGTATATACTAATACTTTTTTAAACGCATTTTTATTCAGCCACTATAAATACACTTAATAATGACATAATTAGTATTTTTGTTGAATACATTAAGCATTCTGGGTTCTGTTTATATGTATTGCTTCTAGTCTTGTATTATGAACATTTTCAGTACACGTTCCAAAAGAGAAAATTTATAGATAGAAATATTTTTTAAATCTGAATATAAAATAATTTTTGGAACGAAGTTCCTTACGGCAGGCTTGGAAGAGATACGGATTTTGCTGCGCGATCGAACTGAAAAAAATGTGATAGTAAAAACCGGAAGAAAAAGTCCGTGGAATAAGGCCTTGTTTTCCGCGATTTTTCTCTCGAAATTCTTTTTTTTTTTTATATGGACCTTCGTTCCTATCCAGTGTCCCACGACACCACACATCTTTTTTTTTTAATATTGAATTGTCATCGGTCCTTAACAAGTATACCAAATTTCGAGTTAATCCGACGTTTTGAAGGAGGTCAAAATAATGTTCAAAGATTCCATTACAAAGAGACATACGTCTGAAGCTAATAAAAGCGTATTAATAATGTCAAATGTTGAGATTTATTTAATATAGTAGTAGTCTTCTAGACAGTGACATTATTCTCGTCGTACTCCTCGATTACAAATAGACTACTGAGCCACTAGACAAACCCACTGCGTTTCTCACTGGATCATCTCAGTGGGTCGCGATTCCGATCCGGTGGTAGATTCTGTGACGCACTGCTCTTGCTAGGGCCAGTGTTGGCGAACTGTCTCAGGTTGAGTCCGTAAGCTCTACTACCAGCCAGAGCGTAGCTGGAATAACCATTTGGCTACCAGCGAATAGGTAGAAAACCATAAAGTCCAATTATTTTACAGAAATAAAAAACGTCATCTTTGTTGAGAGAACGGTACGAGTGAACTTCGAGAATGGCCCTTCGATTCCCTTTGAAGACTGTTGGCTCAGAGACCATTGCAGGTAAAATTTCCATGACTAGTTCCTTAAAACGAACAAAAGGATGAGAAATCCGTGCACTTTGCTCGAGATATTTAGCATTTTCGCGTTAAGCACCGCCGACTTTAAGATCTGAGATTCAACTGTATTAAACAAATGAGTAATAAAAAATACAGATTCATTAGATTGTTCAATGAGTACTATTTACAGATCGGGTTTTTTTATAAATTTTTTATTGCTTAGATGGGTGAACGAGCTCACAGCCTACCTGGTGTTAAGTGGTTACTGGAGCCCATAGACCTCTACGACGTAAATGCGCCACCCGCCTTGAGATATAAGTTCTAAAGTCTCAAGTATAGTTACAACGGCTGCCTCACCCTTCAAACCGAAACGCATTACTGCTTCACGGCAGAAATAGGCAGGGCGGTGGTACCTACCCGCGTGGACTCACAAGAGGTCCTACCATCAGTAATTACGCAAATTATAATTTTGCGGGTTTGATTTTCATTACACGATGTTATTCTTTCACCGTGGAAGTCAATCGTGAACATTTGTTGAGTACGGTTTTCATTGGAAAAATTAGTACCCGCCTGAGATTCGAACATCGGTGCATCGCTCAACACGAGTGCACTGGACGTCTTATCCCTGAGGCCACGATGACTTCCTGTTTTAATTGTTTTCTATTATACTAAAACACCACATGAAGCGCAGCGAAGGATGTTTATGGGCTGATGATGGTGATGGTCTCAATTATGAAATCCTATGCTATGAAATCCTCATCGCAACTGGAAAATAGAATAAATAAGATTTCAATGTTACATTTATGTAATGTTTGTAGATGTACACAATGCTATCACGCGAATACGTTCCAGAGAGCTAAACACATTTTAGAACTGCCCGATTCGAAGATACTTACATTACAATTCGATAAGAACAGTCTAACAATTGAATGTGAGTATGTCATGTAACTTTAGTATTATAACTTTGTTATTGCGTAGACGAGGGACTGGGCCGGAAATTGGGTGTTAAATGGTACCTTAGCAGAAGTGAATACCATCACCTATCTTGAAACATAATGTCGAAATTTTGATTAGTTTATTAGTTTATTGTTATAGTTTATTATTATAAGTTGGAACGAATTAAGTGTTTGAAGTTCGAATTAAAAGAAAAACTTTTACTATAGACAACCAAGGTTGCGATGCTTGTTACAATATCTCAATTAATAGTCCTAGATATTATTTTATTTACAGCTAATTAGATATTGGGTTAACAATTCTGTATTTGGTGTGGAGCGATGTGGTGTCAAAGCTATTAATTGTGTGTTCAATGCAATTAACGAACTCATGATTGTTTCGCGGCAGAAATAGGTAACACGGTTATACCTACCCGTGTCAGAATAAAATATGTGATCCCTAATGGCTCGGTTAATTACTAAGCACCAAGCTGAACGTGATTTACTTGAGATACAAAATTAAATGTAAGCCTAATTTCAGGGGACGATAAGCACACTACAGAATTCACAGCGGACTTTCTGTCGCAATTCGATTATAAAACTTGGAAAAATAATCGCAGATTGAAGCCTAGATTGTGGCGCGGCTGTAACGTTGCTGACAGAATAGCTAAAGTACACGTTGATAAGTTTCTTGACTCTGACGACAGTTCAAAGGAAGTATTTCAATCGCTTCTTGACTATGGCGTTGCCTTTATAACTGGTGTAAGTTGTAGATATTATTTTAATTGGGCTTTATATCCTTATATTGAAATTGATTTGATTATGTGGTAAATGACGTTCCTTGAATTCCATTGTTTAATTTTTTTAAAAGTAATATATTTTTAATGTTATCTCAGATGTGTCCCTAATGTTGTCTCAGATGAGAACCACTGCTTTGTGTCTGTCACTGAAACTAATCCTCTTGGTATATGCTCTCCTGGCCCAGAAATGGAAGTATTGCTCCACGCTTCACCGAAGTTGTGCTTTGTAAACAAAATAGTCAGAAATTGACCAGTCTATTGTTACACAACTAAACATAGTATAAAATTCGTTATTTTTTTTATATTCGCAAATACTTTTTTTAAGTTTAAGATGGAGAACATTTATATATAATACGGGGTAATGCGTAGACATATTCTAATTCATAAACAAATGTAATAAATGTAGTCCAACCAAAACGCCTTAAATATAGTCTAGCATTAGACGTGGAACAACGGTTGAACTCTACTTAGATGTCTGAAACAAAGACTTTTTCATCGATATTCTTGTTTTAGATACTATATGTAGCATCCTGATTAACAATATATGTATATTTGTAATAGTGTCAAGTAGATAAATCCTTTTGTTGATGACTATATGCTCCAAAGCAAATACTCTATTACAAAAGCCTGTACAATCTAAACATTAATGCTAAAATAAATTGTACAGATAAATTTTATATTTAACAAAAACATTCTATTCTACCGTATTCAATACAACTATTTCTGCCGTGAAGCAGTAATGCGTTTCGGTTTGAAGGGTGGGGTAGCCGTTGTAACTATACTGAGATCTTAGAACTTATATCTCAAGGTGGGTGGCGCATTTACGTTGTAGATGTCCACGGGTTCCAGTAACCACTTAACATCAGGTGGGCTGTGAGCTCGTCGACTCATCTAAGCAATAAAAAAAATTTACTAAAAATAATAAATTGTTATTAATTACATAAAACTATCCATAAATGATTTATTGAAGAAGATATCACGCGTCATCCTTCTCGTGTTAGATTAATAACACTACTTCAATCCATTAATCATATTTCATACACATTTAAATCGTTTAACCAGGTGCAACCAAGCGCGGAAGCTACAGAAACAGTGTGCAAAGCTTTAGGAGGAATTCAACACACTATTTTTGGTGCTACATGGGAATTCACCACAGTTGCTGATCACGCCGACACGGCCTATACCAATCTACCTTTGGCTGCGCATAATGATAATATTTATTGGACTGAAGCGGCTGGGTAAGATAAAACAAACATAAACGTGTTTGAGGAAATCAAATCTAGGGACTATTTTAGGATTCCGTGTCCAACAGTTGCTAATGGAGTATTTTTATTTTGTCCATATCCTGAGTTTGTTGTCATTTACATCAGATAAATTACGTCTGTTTTAAATGCTTGCCATTTTGAAATCTACTATACGATTAGTTCGATGAGTACTTATTGTAACGAATCTGACTTAAATTTTAACACAATAATCCAATAAAAAAGAGAATCTATAATATCATTCGGAGTTACGTTTTAAAATAATTTTAATAAATTGAATTTCCGTTGTGTCCGTTCTTCAAGCTAAATAAAAATTTAATTATTTAGATTTGTTAAATTAATTATGGGCAAGATCGCGATTGTGATATAACACGGCCCGAAATATTTCTTTCCATACCAAATAAGCGACAAAACTTAGTTGTAGACATTCCAGTATTATGTCGTAGTGTCGCTGAAAATCTGTGAATCAATATGATATAATGTCGATTGGGAAGTCTCGGAAACATGCGTACCTCTGGGTTTTATCGATAAAATGTCGATCGCGAACCCGGGTTCGTATTTTGACAAAAGGTACAGTCGTTCAACACGAGCGTCGGTTCAGCCGACCCTTGACATTTTCTTCCAATTTTCTTTTACCTGAAATACCTTATGAAGCCTTTTCGCAATTCTCGAGACTACGCTGTGGAAATGAAAGGTGATATTTTGGTGTAACCACATTTGTAATTGTTTTTTTTGTATAAGGGCTGCTGGAAATTTTATCTTTTCAAATAATTGACATGTGAGGGGAGAATATCAGTCTTATGAAAGTGCTTATATTGTGGTTTCTTGTGGTACTTAATAGTCTTACTCGCGAAATATTTTGATCGTTAGTGGTTAAGTTACATTACTGAATGCTTCTAACTCAGGAGTCAGTGTCAGGACTCGTGCCACATTTGTACTGCATGCCCAGATTTTTCTCGAAGTCTTTTGTATTATATCTAACAATTTAATTAAAAAGTACTTACGAACTCATGCGTAGCATCAGCTTTTCGGCCGCTAATTTGATTTTAACTGCGATATTACATATAACAATAATACTCTTTGTTTGAATTCGATTTTAAACATAGCTTTTATATTTCAATTAATCTTAAGTGTACCTGTTTCTAAGGATTCGAGAATGTTATCAACATTCATATTTCGATAACATGAAATAAAACCAAAACCCAAATCTTATTTAATATGAAACACTTTTGAAGATTTTAATATACGTATTTTTTATTTACCCTTCGCAGGTAAATGCCACACAATCGTATTAAATAATACTTTGGTAGTTGCATCAATTGAAAATGAACATGCATTAAATTAAGATGAAACAAAACATTTCAGCCTCCAAATCCTTCACTGCATAGAACATACAAACGGTACGGGCGGTGAAACTATTCTTGTTGACGGCTTCTACGGAGCGACTTGTCTGAAGGAAGATCACCCGGAGGATTATGAATTCCTAACAACATATGAGATTGAGGGCGAATATATAGAAAATCGTCATCATTTCACGCATAGCGCACCTGTTATCCAAATCGACAAGAATACTGAAGACATTAAACAAATAAGGTTTACCCTTTACCTTTTATTAAAATGGTTAGCGGTGGATCCCGTAAAAGATTAAACCAAGGTGGCCATGGTCCTGGTTTAAGTGGTCAGCGATGTATAAAGATATCAAAATACAATACACGATGGAATATTTAAATCAAATTTGTATGAAAAAATATAAAAATTTGTATAACCCAAACAGCGGACGGCTTGTGTGGTATGGACATGTGATGCGTAGACAAGAGATGCATGTAATTAGGAGATGTATGGAAATGGTAGTGCAGGGTAGAGGGGGAAGAGCTCGACCGAAGAAGACATGGATGGAGCATGTTAATGACGATATGAGAGAGAAAGAGGAGTGAGTGTTGAGATGACGGCTGATAGAAGAGGATGGAATAGGAAAATTCGCTGTGCCGACCACACCTAGTACGATAGGGTGGAGATAAAGAAGATAAAAACCCATTATTCAGACCAGAACGAATTCCAACCTCGCGGTAGGCAAGTGGTATCTATCCGTATAGGCTTACAAGGACCCCACTAGTAACTTGTGACTGTTTCATGACAGAAACTCACATAGCTGTGAAACCGTTTACTAATAATAATTTTTATTATAATTGAAACGTCCGACCTGCTTTGCGATTCTCTAAAATTTAAAACAAGAACTCGCAAGATATCACTACAATGTTCACGTTTACTTCGCATTCGCAATGGAATTACCTTGATTTGGAATTCTATTAACACTAATCATAATTGACCTCGAGCGAAGTGAAGTGACAACGAAGTTTGTTTATAGTTTTGTGTTTTCGGATTTGGATTTTGAAACTAGTCAAAACCGGAAGTTTCAGTGCACCATAGACTTTGCAATAACATTTTTATAACATTGAACACTTACATAAAACCAGCAGAAGAAGATATTGTAATCTACTCAATTTCAGGATGAAGCAATAGGAAAAATAGACTTTAGAAAAAGCCGCCCAATCGATACGTCAATTTTAACAATACATATGTACATTACAGATTCAATGTATACGATAGATCAGCTATGGCATTCAGGAGTGGCAGGGACTGTCGGCTCTACTATCGTTCCTTGAAAAATCTAGCTCGGTATTACGAAAATAAAGAAAACCAATGGATATTCAAATTAGTTCCAGGTAGATACATATACAACGGTTTTTAGTTTTTGTAGAATTATGTTTTTATTAAATTCACTTTTTTTTTAACTGATGCTTTTTCCTTTGGCGTTTCTAATTGTAGTCTATTTTTTATCTCTTAATCATTAATTTATTATGTTGCTTCTAAAATATTTACAAACGATTATACGCATTTAATTGTGTGATTTAGAAAAATAATTCGGTGTATTATGTCAATATTCTTAATACTTAAATCAGTGGGACCTACAAAACTGAAGATTGGTGATAAAGAAAAGCTCTGCTTTCATCTCTTATTTGGCATTGGACTTTTTGGCGGGAACGCGAGGAATTAAGTTGTGTGAATTGTTTTATTTTGTCTATTTAGTGTTTCTTCAGGTTTAAATGTATAATAACGGTGGTTCATTAACTTTTTAATATCTGTGAAAAGGTAAAAATGTGGGAAAATGAAATAAAGTCGCTGGACGTAATTTCTCGGGATCCTCCAAAAAGTCCATTGAAAAATTTTCAGGAAATGACCACCATTTTACTGAGATTATATTTCATCTCAGTTGATTAATGTCTCAAATTAATCATCTGCATTTAATTTCACTCCATATTATAATTTTTCATCAAAATAAGAATATAATTTAAAATAAGACATGACTTAAAGGTCTTAGTAACCAGGTCATAAAATACCTTAAAAAAATATATTTTGCATTACAGGTCTTGTGATGGTAATAGACAACTTCAGATTGCTTCACGGTAGAAACGGTTTCACTGGAAGGCGGGTGCTGTGCGGTGCGTATGTGTCGCGCTCTGACTGGCTGGACAAAGCTCGGTCGTTAAATCTCATTCAATAACATCGTTATGATCATTATGTTGTTAGATTATCCAATAACATCATTATGATCATTATTTTGTTAGATTAGTCCTATTTTTGAATTATTATATGTAACAAATAACTATAAAAATTATAACCTTAATAATGTGAATAAAAATTAAAAATCAATTGGATCTTATTAAATTGTAATAGGTAATAATATCAAAAGCTGTTAATTACTAAAAAAACGCATGTTTAAATGTTTCTTAATTTCTTAAATTCAAATATTTTAAGTGCATTAGAATAAATCTAAAAATTTGATTCCTAAGAGACTTAATTGGAATTTGTTTCTTTTAAAATTCGTATAACAAGATAAAATGAATAATTTTAAAGATTAAGCTTAAACCAGATAATCGCTCATACTTCTCCCTAATTAGTACATTATGAGACTACGTGCGCCTGTGGGAAAGGGCTTAAGCTTAAAACATTTTGGGAGGCACTCTTAAGGTTTTGAAAGATGATTAAGTGAAGAATATTAATCTCTATGAAGCACAGAGCTGTAGATGCCATTTTTTATACTCTGTCTATCTTTGGCTAAGACGTGTCAAAGACTCGAATTTTAAAAATGGTTTTACTAATAATATGGGGTAATTTTATCGATTCCCTCTTGTCGTCAATTTCGAAAAAAAAATAATAGTTTAGATGTTTATAATAATTAAAGAAACAGTGATATATATTTTTTTTCAATTAATATTCCAGAAATATATCTGATATGTCAATTTTATTCGTCTTTAATCACATTTTATGATTCATTTCATTATTTTATATTGACTCTTTATTTTTTATCTAATCATAATATCTTAATACAAACATGAAAATGATATTGCAAAAGGAATTCCGTTCCAACAAGTGGTCCATAAGGCGCCTCTCTCTTTTTTTACTAATTTTAGTGATAAAATAAAAATGTTTTTTTTTAAGTAATCAAGTTCATTTTTCAAGCCGATCTACTTACTGGCAGACTACTCGATGTTAATGCGTTATCTAATCACAAAACGAATAAATTTATTGCATTCGTTTTTTTCTATTACTTTAGTTTTACTTCGGTCACATCGTTTGTAGAGGCCCCGATAACTTAGAGAAGCTGATGGTAGTTGGTCAGGTTGACGGGAGAAGATCACGCGGATGCTCACCTACCCGCTGGTCTGGTCTAGTAAAGACGCTCACTGGCCTACAAATAGGCTATAAATACCGCCAAGGACAGGAAGACGTGGAGAAGCATTGGGCATTGAGTGGTCAACATTTCAAATTAGACACGATCTTCAGCAATTTTTTTTCCTTCCCATGCTGATAGGCTTGAGAGGCTATTTCAGCTTCGCCCTAACATGTAGGTGAGCTCACGGGGCTCAAACCGGTGTTGTGCTGGAAGTGCTGCTAACACTGGCACTTCACAGAATCTACCACCGGATCGGAAACGCGACCCACTGAAAAGATTCGGCGAGAAACCCAATGGGCTACTTCAGAAATGAAGAGACCGACTCAGATGAAAAAGAAGAAGTTTAGTTGTATTGTATTCGTTTATTTGTATCTAATATTTGTTCGAAGCACAGAACTATGATGATCGGTGGTGTTGCGGCTCATGAGTTCGATTCCCACATCGGACGAACTTCGAGTTCAAATCCAGCTCGCATTTTCATCAATTTTACTAATAAAATATGTATACGTGTTCAAAGTGACTCACTATAAAGTAAACTTAAAACCGTAAACTTCATATACTACCAGTACTACCAGTTTTTACTGGTGGTAGGACCTCTTGTGAGTCCGCACGGGTAGGTACCACCACCTTGACTATTTCTGCCGTGAAGCAGTAATGCGTTTCGGTTTGAAGGGTGGGGCAGTCGTTGTAGCTGTACTTGAGACCTTAGAACTTATATCTCAAAGTGGGTGGCGCATTTACGTTGTAGATGTCTATGGGCTTCAGTAACCACTTAACACTAGGTAGGCTGTAAGCACGTCCAACCATCAAAGAAAAAAAAAAGGAAATACGCAGGCTTATAAATTTTGCAGGTTTGATTTTATTACACTCTGATTCTTCCCTTTTCGTGTTGATTTGATGTTAACTTGAATTCGTGTATTTCCTTAGAAAAATGAATACCTGTCTGTTTGCTTCGGAGACTGACATAGGCGCTTGATGTGAATACCAAGAACGTCTTACCCTTTAGATCATGACGGCTCCGTTTTTTTCGTTCCGTTTAATTCAATACAATTCAAACTTCAACCTTATGTCTTAGAGTGGGAGGCAGCATTCACGTTACGCTGTCTGCAGACTCCGGGAGGCGCTTAACACCAGATAGGTCGCGATCTCATCTGCCCATCAACAATTCTAAAAATAAGTCAACACATATTTTATCAATTTATTTTATCAAAAAATATACTTTTATTTTACCCAAAACAAATAATTTCTTTTTTATTCCTTAGATGGGTGGACGAACTCACAGCCCACACGGTGTGAAGTGGTTTATTGGAGCCCATAGACATCTACAACGTAAATGCGCCACCCACCTTGAGATATAAGTTTTAAGGTCTCAAGTATAGTCACAATGATTGCCCCACCCTTCAAACCGAAACGCATTACTGC